GTTGAGGGAGTACTTGAGTGGAGGCCCAATGTCCTTCTGCTACCTTAATACTAAACCTATAAATGTAGGCTCATAGATCTATTTCCCTATCCTCATATTTGCATATGTACATGTCTTTATCAAGACCTCTATAAATGCCCTTTGCCTCCCAGCTCTTTCCTCTATTTCCCTTGATAAATCTCTTTCTTATACACATATGTGTGTCCATGGATTTGTTTCTCTAGTCTACCCAGACTAACACAGGCTATCTACCACTCCATTATGACGGGCTGCGACTGGATTCTCAGAAATCCCCATTTGGTCTCAGGAATCTTGGAAAGTGAGAAACAGAATCCACACTTTGTTTTCACATGTAAGATGAGTATATTAAAACAAAACACATTAAATTTACTACTTCATGAAGCTGACGTTAAATATTTTGCATTAATTAATTAATTAAACATGTCATAATTTTGACTCTCGTGCATAGCTTTTTAGAGTCCCTGAGTGGTACCAACAGTTAGGAAAGGTTAGAGTTTTGAGTCTACGTGGGACCCCCGCCCCCACCCCCAAGGAAAGGCTGGAGAATCCACCTCTGAAACTTCAGCCACTACAACCCAACCGATGGTGCACAATGCTATCCTGACTGACCCTCGATCGCCATGAGCTGAGGTGGACTTGCTGTTGACTGGATCGCTTCATCTCTGTTTCTCAGTCAATGTCCGGTGCTGCTGAGCAGCGCCTGTGTCCCGAGACCCTCGAGGGTAGAGCAGAACAGCCCCGCATGATTTCCTAGGTGCTTGCAAGTCTTTACGCTCGCAGACCCTTCCTCTTTCTCCCACAGAGTGGTCATGGGTTGGAATTGCTGCTCTCTCCCTCAGCAGCTGAGCACTTAACTGCTGTGACCGCTAGGTTCCTTTGTGAACTCACTACCACAGGGATGTTTCTCTTCTGGTTTCAAACACGTTCACAGGTCCTTTCAGAAGCAATAAGCCTCGGGCTGATGGGAGCGCTCAGAGTTGGGGGTTATTTCTGAGCAGAGCTGGCAGGGATCTCCAAGTTTGCCCCAAACCTCTGATGTGGGGGCTTTTCCCCAGTGCCTTTCCTAAAAACACTAGTACCCCGATGCCCCGAAGCCACCACTGTCAAGTCCATGCTGACACAGGGACAGAGTCCAGCAGCCCCGGGGGATTTCCACGGCTGTACCTCTTCACAGAAGCAGACTACCGCACCTGTTTCCCGTGGGGCAGCTGGTGGATTCCAACCCCTGATGCTTAACTCACGGCACCACCAGGGCCCCTTCCTGATGCCAGTTCACAAACACCTGCCGGGGGACTGAAGGGGCTCGAAATCGCGCTTGGATTCCTTTTTTCTGCACTAGTATGCACGGACTGATCCGGCTTCTCTCCTCTCGGGCAGGCCCTTTCATTTTCCCTCCTTTCCACGTGAGACAGCTCAACAAATGGCCCCAGCATCTACAGAACCACCCCCCCCAGGGAAATTATCCAGTGCGGCCAGCACAGCCTTCGGACATCCATCGATAGGGACTGTCAGAACCCGCCTTCTCCGTTAGCAAATTTACATCTCGGGACTAACTGGGAGTCCGTCTAGATCCTACTGTGATCCCTTTCTGTTCTACCCGTCGGACACATATGTTCTCAGACACATATGTACAAGTCACTTGAGGAAAGAAAAACAAAATCCAGCTAGCCGCCTCCCCTGGCCTCTCCCTTTCTCTGGTCAGCGAGGGGGATTATAAGACACAGTAAGTGGCAGGGACACGCCGTGTGCATGGACAGCAGAGAAGGCCCGAAGTCCTTTGCAGAACATCCCCTGGTTGAGTGGCAGCCAGATTGACCTCACTCGTTTACTTCCCAATGTGATTTGCAAGACATGAATAGACATCAGGCCATAACATGTAAATTTAGACACACACACACACACACACACACACACACACACACGCACACCTGCGGCAGTGACAGCCATTAAAGCATTCATTCCACTTTCCTTTTCTGCAGCGCTGCTGCAAAAGAGAAATGTGACACAGGGTGGTGACGGCCCATTTACAGGGACTCACTGGCATCTAATGACCATTCCTGCCCCTTACCCAATGTAGCCTCTCCTTTAAGAAATCCGGGAGCAGCCTTTCTGGCGTGGCAATCCATTACATCAGGAATTCCATTTTAAAGGGCTCTTCATTACACTGGGGGTGGGAAGGCCTTGAAGGCGCCCGGGCAGACCCCTCACCTCCCCCATGGGAGAT